TGAACACATGCATATATTTAAGAAATTATTAAATATATGCATGTGTGTATTTATATATACATATATAAACAGTACACACACAACATGTAAACACACACTTTTATTTTGGATGCGATTAATTGATTTGACAGCCCTGACAGAAATATTTAAGAACTAATACAAATTACGAAAGCATACAAAATTACAGAAATGTAAACTAAAATTTAAATAATTTAATATACTACTAAATGCATTTAAAAGTACACTATATATATATATATATATATATATATATATAGTATTAATAATGAATAATAATAGTAATATATACTAATATAGTATAAATAAGCGCAATTAAAGTCAGTTATATGATTTCAGGAATTAGAAATATGTACACTAGTCATCTGAACTGTTTTTATTTATAGATATCATTTTGTTATCATTTTTATTATTACTTATTTATAGACAACAATAATAACAACAATAATAAATTGTAATATTTTCTAATTCGTTTTTTTTTAATTACTGTTAAAAAGGTAAAATGACATTCATAAAAAAATATATCCAAAAAATGGGCTGGACCTTTAAGATTATTATTTGGACATTTAAGATTATTATTATTGATTTACAGTAACTATAAGACCTTGCTACCAGTGAGCTAATGTGTTAAAGCTAATATAGCAATGGCCTTTGAGCCAGAGGTGACACAGGCTGATATATGGGTGATGATAGCTTCAGGTGACAGAAGGAAGACTGCCAAGAGATTTTCCTTTAAATGATCAGCCTCTTAAACATTCTTATCCCCAGTAAACATATTCTAACGTGACCTAAATGGACCACAAGATTATTTGCAGCAACACCTAATTGCTACATTTAAGGTGAAAAATATTTTTGTCGAAACAAGCCAAGAAACACCTGCTACTGGAGCTCAGCAGGTTCGTAGTGTGAGACGGTGCTAAGTTGCTGCTGACTTCGACACCTTTAGCTGCCGCAGATCAAGGCTTCCTCCATAGAAAGTGAATACGACTACAAGGCACTGCGCCAGTTCTCGGGGTTTGATGGTCACCGGTTTTAGCAGGGTGTCAGTTGAGTTTGATGAGCATGTTTTTGCTGATAGGCGACCATGGCATGAAGCAAGGGGGTGAAACCTGAGAGTGGAGATCCGGAAGGTTGGAAGGTAGCATGCTCTGTTCCTCTCCTGACTCTTTCTGGATTACGATTACAGGCCTTGATTAAGACTTTCCCTTTTTAGTAGCAGACACCGTCTGGTGTCGAGTCGCGGTCGGATCTGCTGGTAGGAAGCCTTGAAGTGTGTCCTGCTCAACATGAAAGCTTTGGTTTTGGGTGTGAATGAACATCAAAGCAAATCTTCTTGAAGGTAATTTTAATGGAGACTTACGTTCCTATCAATTCTGAGCCAAAAGCTTAATTTTGAGGCTAAATTTGGATTTTTAAAGCGTTTTTGTAACAAAAATGGGTATTTTCTTTTCTTTACCTGTACAAAAACATGATCCTTAAAGGTACATTCAGTAATTTTTATGTTGCACTATGCTGTCATCTTGGGTTTATAGTGGCACCTAGTGGTGTGGATGAAGCATTATGCAAAAATGTTTAAAAATGGATACATTTTAAATAAATGACATTTATGTTTAAGCAGTAAAATTTCATGGAAAAAAGTGATACATATGAGTGATAAAATATAATAAAAAAAGCTGCTTGATTAAATTATTAAATTTATAAATTACTAATTTCTTTAGTAGCAAAACTACAAAGTGAAAGAAAAAAACAAAAACAAATATTGACTAAGGTGAGAAATTAACCCGCTTTAAGTATGTGAATGCTCTGTGCAAAGTTCAGTGAAATTGAACACAGGTAAATATCATTCCTCGACAATTCCTAAATTGGAACGCCCATAAATCATGTAGTATCTGTAATAAACTGATACTGTAGCTGGTATGTTGACATACGCAATACAAGTGAACATTGTGTGCATCATGTCTCAATCGTCTCAGTACACAGGATTGGGAGACACAGATGTTTTACCCACAGATGCAGCTGAAACTGTATCCAGCCCCACGAGTATCCCTCGGGACTGCCAGGAACTATAGCTAGTATTAATAGCCCTCCAGCACTTTCTGAAGAACTGTATGGAAAAAAACATGCCCTGGTACATGCAATTTGTCATTAGTCTGCATTAAAATCAATCAATAGTCAGTTTTAATGAAGAGGTATAAAATATCGATCTAAAAGCGGAGTGCTTCTTTGGCTGATTCATGCATTTATAACAGGCAAACGGGTGAGTGGTTAGAAAAGTTCTTTTAGACTTTGTTTAGATTGATGATCAATAGCAACCTTTCTTCTAAAATTGTGGTCACATTAGCAAAATTTTACAGGCAAAGAAGTCACTGTCAGTAGTGTAGCAATGTATGAAGCATAGTTCACACAGATGTCACTTCAAATCCAAGCAGTCAATGCTGCAATTTCATGAACCAGCTGTAAAATCTGAACCAGTTGTGAAATCTGCACGAGTAGAACTTCCTGATCGTATGGATTCCTATTCAGTGTTGGGGAGTTACTAGTTACATGTAACAAAATTCCGCAATTTAAGTACAAAATAAATGTAACTGTAATCAGTAAAAAAAGTGTAATTAAATTACAGTTACTTCTGAAAATGTTAACGATTACAAAGGGGGTTACATCTGAATTTTTTCTCGCACGCACGCACACAGGATTTCTATAATAAATTGCAGTAACTGCTCTAAATTATGAGATGCCAATGTTTCAGAAGCTTAGGACACAGAATAGGACACGTGCTTATTCGATAAGTGTTTTATTTCCTATTTGCGTTTATGTATATGCTTTATTTCCCCCTGCAAAGATTTCATTTCAAAAACAGTATCATTGCTATTAATCTATTTCTTGTTATGATTTTATATCATAACAGAAGAAGGATTTTGAAAGTCTGAAAGTAATCAGTGTTGAGTACTACTGTACGGTTATCCCTGCTTCGTTTAAATGTTTGAAAACGATTAACAGTTGAAAACTTTAGACATTTGGAAAAGTAATCAAAAAGTAATCAGTTACATTACTTTAATAAAGTAATTGAAATAGTTACACTACTTATTACATTTTTAATAAGGTAACTTGTAATCTGTAACCTATCACACTTCCAAAGTAACCCTTCCCAACACGGTTCCTATTGTAACGAATGGATTTCAACAGTGAAAATTTGCAGAACAACATTAAATGTTACCACACCATAACAGCTTCAGATGCTTTTTAGTTGCTTTATCATTACAAAAAAAAGTTACATACTTGGACCAAACCAACCCACAGCTTCTGATATTTACAGAAATGTCTAATTCTTTGTTGCAACTGTTTTTGCCCACCTAAATTGAACTGTAGGCATTTAATGCAACGATAAACATAGAGGTGAGCTTATTTTCCTGATGAATTGAAGGAATTGAGTAGTTTATGTAATTGTTTTTTTTTTTGTAAAAATTAGAGCACCCTTCAAATATTGTTATAATTCCTCTATACTACTACTACTACATGTGATCCAGGTCGTTTTATATTATCTATCTGAATAATTTACTTAAATCTCTAGCTTCCTTATAAGCATATACAGTAGTGAAGACCCCTTACAAATCATGGTTACCCTTTTAAAAGCTACATGTGGTGCCCTCTAGTGAAACATCACTCTATCTTTGTGTTCTCTTGATATATTGGAACTGACATTTGTGTAAAGTTAATATGCATTTATTTTAGGTATGCCCACAAGTGGGAAAAAAAGAAAACAAGCAATAAAGGTTACAAAGAACCCAAGAGTTTATTTCTTCTCCAATGAAGACTATTCAGAGGAAAGCAGGAAAGAGTTTACCAGACATGTACATCCAGTGTAAATACAAATGTTCGATAAACAAACATCCAGTCACATTCAGCACATGAGATTCACTCGGACTCCAATTTACGGTGGTTGTTCTTCTGCAAAGTCTATTAAACCCAGTCGTTGGGTGGCCGTACCAAATGTGATTGTGACAACTGTGCGTTACAACCAACTAAACAGATAATTGACTGAAACGTAAAATGACTTGAATAGGGAAATACACGGAGTCAAAAAATAATACAACACCCCTCCATGCTATAGCCAACAACTTCCTGGGAACAATAATCATATTCTTAAAGCTGGATGAAGAATGTGTTATAATGCAAAATAGAAGAATAAAATGTTTCAACAAGGCATTTAAAAATCCATGATTTTTCAGCTTCTTCAACATTCACCACAGGCAAAAAAATGCTAAGGTCCAGGGATCAAAATAGCCTTTTGTGGAACACAAATGTCTGTAAACAGAACTGTTCTGGGGCAGAAACAGCGCGCAAACAATACACATTTATTTGGCAAATGACAATCATTGGTGGTCAATTTTTTCACTTTTTTTAGAATTGAATGTTAAAAGTAGTGCTGTCAAACGATTAATCACATCCAAAATAAAAGTTTACATAATATACGTGTGTACTGTGTATATTTATTATGTATATGTAAATACACACTCATAAAGTATATATTTTAAAAATATTTACATGTATTTACATGTACATATTTATATTTATATAAATTATATATAAATATATTTAATATATAAATATAAAATTTTTCTTAAATATATACATGCATGTGTGTGTATTTATATATACATAATAAATATACACTGAACACACCAATTATGTAAACAAAAGCTTTTATTTTGGATGCGATTAATCATTTGACAGCACTAGTTAAAAGGTTAAATTAATAAACAAAGGTGCACTATTTATGCGTTTCACAAATACATACTTCTGCACAGACAATATTAGCATCATATTTATTCTAACTAAATGGTCTTCCACTATTTAAGTGGCTATATATTTAGAAAGCCCAAAAGTGCTATTTCGTAAACTTGGTAAACAGCATCCAAGGAGTCCAGAGTCTAACTCCAACAGACACATACTGACTCAAAACGATATAAAAAATAAAAAATAAAAAAAAGTGTCAAATTGCTCTAAAGAACAAAATAAAATAAGGCAGAATAAGACAGGTGAGAGACTAGGCTTAAAACGGATAGACCAAATGAAAAAGCAACAGTGCAACTTAGCACAGCACATTTTGAAATGCATCAAAATTAGAAAACCAAGAAAAGTGCTGGAGACCTATAAGCCAAAAAATCATGACATACTATACAACTCTCCTTTCTTAAGAAAGAAAAGCCCTGCTTTTATACCAAAAGGAGCTATTGAAGGCTGCATATTCAAAAGTTACAAAATAAAAATGTTATGCATAAATGAGTAAAACAGTGTATTTGGAAGTAGAACTTTTATGTAGCATGTTAATTTTGGAGTTCCCTACGCACACTTTTAGAAAAATCATAAAATACTACATCCATTACAGAAATTAGTCTGTGGTTCTTTTTAAGTAATTACATCTTATTTTGGGGTACAATATTAGTAAACGAAGACATTTCTCGAACCAGTGCCAACATACTCAAAAAGGCATTAAATACTTCAATAACCTCAGGGCTCAATGACGAGGAATGAGAATATATTACCAAAAGCAGCTAATTCTGGTTTAGTTTGAACAGTCCTTAATTTGTGCACATTCGTTTTATGGCTAAGACTGGTGATATTTTTGTGCTTTAATTTAAAAAAATGATTAAATGACAATTCTGTCATTATTTATGCACTCTGATGTTATTCCAAACCATGAGTTTCTTAAATGACTATTCAGTATGACATTCCTCTGCAGAATACAAACGATTTGAACCCCATTGACTTTCATTGAATGGACAAAAACAGTTAAACATTCTGAAACATTTTCTTTTGCATCCCACAGAAGGAAAAAAGTCATATTGGTTTGGAACAACATGAGGGTGAGTAAATGGTAACATTATTTTCATTTCTGGGTAAACTATCCCCTAAACAATTGATTTTCATTGTAAGGAAAAGAGCAGCTTGGACATCTGCCTAAATATCTCCTTTTGTGTTTTACGAGTTTAAAACAACATGAGGGAGAGTAAACGGCGAAATTTGTATTTTTATGTGCACTACTCCTTTAAAATATTAGGTTGTTTCTAGTTAACACAAGTATCACAAATACTGAAGAGAAAATTGGCGCGCCCCAAGGAACAATGTGGCTGGCAGTTACGAGCTGCTTTGCGAATATGGATTTCAGTTAACGGTTAAGTCTGTTCCTTTTCCCCCTAAATCACATCTAAAAGCTCTCAGCAACACTAAGTGCAGTGTTTCTTTGTGCAAGGCCAGCGGTGATGCAATTAGGTGAAAATGGCGGTAAGTTCAGAGACGGTTATATGGTCTGACTATACACAAGGATCACACAAAGCCCTCCAAGAGACACAAAGGAGTACCAGCTCCTGTTCTGACACACAATGAACCCCTAACCGTATAAAACAAGACCCGTCCTGACAAACACTTGTGTAAGATTATAGTACACTGTTTGAGAGAACGTTATATAAAATACTCCTCCTAATACTCAGGTAGAATCTAAAAGAGAATATGAAAAACAGTTTCTTTGCGGTTTTTCCTTCATTTTGGGTTGGAGATGGGGTGGACGACTTCTGGAAGTCATCATCTCCGTATAGGGGTTTAGGATAGTGCTACATTAAGGTTAGGGCTGTCTTATGGACTACCTTATGTCATATGTTGATCCAGGTGAGACTACGTCTCTGGGTTTGTCACTGTCGTAGCTGTTGTGGAATTCATGATCTTCATGTACTGAGTGTGAATGGCATCGAAGGCCTCGTCCCGATGAATCATGGCACCAAACACTAGAGGCTGTGGACAAGACAAGTGACAAAATTCTTAGTGTGCTTTCACATTGGACAATGTCTGACATCAGTATTGGGTTCACCTGGTTAGCATAAAAACTCAATTTGATGCCTGATTTGAAATCCAGTAAAATCATTTTAAGTGGTCTTAAATGTTACAATTAACATCTTTGATTATGTCTCATATCATATCATATAACCAATGCTATAAATGCAGTTTCTCTTCAGTTATTTCAGTTAGTGTGCAAGCTAAACAAATAGCCTACTTGCTGCTTCTTTAGCTACAGCGGTGAACAGCTGCTGCTAGTCCTCACTGAGGGACTAGTGCTGATGACACAAATGTACCTTGATGTGGAGCCAATAATAAAATGTGCAAAGGAACCTGGCAGGAACTCTGGTTCACAGCAAGTGTGAAAATGGCCTTGAAAAAACTTAATATCCTAATATTAAGAGCCAATTATATAATAAAAGTAAGAATACCACAGAAAAGCTACCCATGTAACTTTTTCTTTATTTGAATTAATTAATTTAATGAAACCTGTGTGCACAAATTCTTGCTAAGAAAAGAGAAGTGAAGACTTAAATTGTTACAAAAAAAAAATCTGTTTCAAATAAATGCTGCTCTTTAGAACTCTGTATTCAAAGAATCTTAACAGTAAAAGTATTAAGCACAACAGTTTTCAACATTGAAAATAATCAAAGTTTCTTGAGCAGCATATTAGAATGATTTCTGAAGGATCATGTGACACTGAAGACTGAAGTAATGATGCTGAAAATTCAGCTTTGCCATCAGAGGAAAAAAATAATTTTTTAAACATTAAAATACAATACTAATTGTAATAATTTCACAATATTACTATGTTTCCTGTATTTTTGATCCATATATATACATATATATACTGTATATAACACATACACAGATATGCAGTACCTTTAAAGTGGATGGCGTTGTAATTGAGATCCCCATCCCAGATCCAGGCAATACTGACAACACTTTGTACTGTTAACAAGAGTGGAGAAATGCAGTAAGATACTAAGCATTCAATAAAAATAAGTCAACGAACATCAAAAAACATCTGGCAGACCTTCTGAATATCCGTGATGTCTTGGAGCTTGATGACTTTATTTTTCTTCGAAGACGTCGCCCGGGAGCTGGAGCTCTCAAAACACAGGTAACTAAAAACACAAAACACACACTTTTATCATAAGGTACTATGCTGGCCTAACAATGCCTATAGGTCTTATACCTTAAGTACGATAAAACATTTACACCTTTGTTTAGAGAAAATGTAATTTGTAAATATTGCCATTTAATGCAATGTTGCTGATTCTGAAAAAGCCCCAAAAACAATTAATTTGCAAAACAGCAAACAAAACAAACAAAAAAATACTGCTATTTGAACATCTGAACATGCATACTTTTCTGTGACGTAGAGGACACCATTGCGGATGTAGTCGGTTGGCATTTTTCGGTCCCTGTTGATCAAGCAACATCGCCATCCGTTCTCGCACACTGCGAATCAAATCACACATTGTTTTACAGTTAAACAACAGCAAATGCATATGAAAATGTTCAAAGGCTAGCGTAGTTTCTCTTCCCACCTGGCAGGGGGCGCTCATTCTCTGACAAGTTGAAGACTTCATGAAAAGGCCCTCTTTTGGTGTTGTAGGCCCGTCCGCTTTCCTCCTCACGGCCAATCCCGCATGACATCCCGGCCGACTGATTACCACGTGCCACCACCGGCTGGATCTGCTGTGAAGAACAAGCGAAACTATTTATTTAGGAGCAGGACGTGTAAGTACAGCCCCAGAACTGCAAGGTTCCTGTGAGCCTTGGAAGGATCAATGCTATCCTTTAACGCCTAACCAGATAAAGAACAGAATTGATCCTAGATCAGCACTTGAGGGCCCCAACAGCAGCACCCATGTGTCAATCGTCATTAAACCAGTGTATGTTATTGAGCCAAGCAGCAGTGGTGACCTAGCAGAGTGAATGATGTTCAATGGCTCAGCTGCATGTGGACTCCTGAGATCAGCTGGTGCCAGAATCAGTTCTCGGGGGTTGGATGCCAAACACTAGCGAGGGATGCCTGGGGGGTGCTGAGGACCAGTGCAAAGCTCAAAGCCGGAGTTAAACAGCCACGTATCATTGGTATTACCACTCACCAACACATTAGCAAGATATTAGTTTATTTATGTGTTAGAAGTTTGGGGCTGAACAAGACCGATGTCATTTGAGAAAGATTTATGGGCATTTCTTCAACTATGGGCACATTTAGGTCGATTTTCCTCAAAATGAACAGAAGAACTTTATGTTATACACCATAAAATTATTTAAAATATAAATGAATAAATAATTCTAATTTTATTCAACTTTGCAATGCTATCATGATTTATTTTTGCTATATTCTTATTTGCTTGTGAATAGATTTTATTGTTTTAAAATTAAAAATATAATAGTATTATTATTATATTAAACTGATAACAATAAAAACATTAAAAATAATTAAAACAAACTAAATCTTAGCATGACAAATAATAAAGATTAAAAATTGTTGTTGGAATATATTTAAATATTTTAAATACAATTTAAAATTAAATCCTTTGATACATTATTATTATTATTATTGATCAAATATACTGAAAAGACTGAAAAAACAAAAAACTATTTTAACATATATTTGTCTTACTAACACTAATACAAATACTAGTACTAATAATAATAATATAAAGAAAAAAATCAATTTTATACATTGATTATATCTGTTAATCATGTATGTTTAATTTGTTGGTAGAAAAATGATATAAACTACTATTTGCTAAACATACAAGTCAAGTGGCCACAGTTAAAGAAACACCCTTATATTTGCAGAAAACTATTCTTCATCGTGCATAGAGAGTACGTCTGCAAATACAACATCTGTAAAAGAAATGCTGACTAACTCTGACACAACTTGACTAAAATGTAGCTTATTCAAGGCCAGCGCTCAAACATGACAAAAACCTGGATCCAACATTACTTAAAGGGGTCATATGATGCGATTTCAATTTTTCCTTTCTCTTTGGAGTGTTACAAGCTCTTGGTACATAAAGAAGATCTGTAAAGTTGCAAAGACTAAAGTCTCAAATCCAAAGAGATATTCTTTATAAAAGTTCAGAGTCAGCCACACCTACCTAAAACGGCTCGTTCTAACACGCCCCCACATATCTACCTCACTATGTGGGAAGATTTGCATAACGCCGCCCAAATGTTCACGCAAAGAAAGGCGCAACTTTTAGTCTCACTGTAGTTTTGTTGACGCTGCAGCCATGTCGTGAAGACACTGTGTGCTTCGTTGTGAAAGCGAAACTACTTTGTTTGGTCTTCCAAAAGAGGACGATATCCGCTTCGTCATGCCTAGAGCTGATCTGTGCTGGTCGCTGAGGGAATACATCAACTTTCACCGTGGACGAAGCGGAATCCAGCCCGGGGTCCGTCACATGTGGTTGCCGCTCATTCGTCAGATCAGCGCACGCTAAGCCGGGGCTTCGGCTCACACTAGCCCGGCCTCAGCTCACTCTAGCCCGGCCTCAGCTCAGCTTTGTAAAAATCGACGCGTTTCAGAAAGGCAGGGAAAGTATGTGGAAAATAATGTGTTTATTTTTATTTCATTACACCAAATACACAAAATAATGTTCTTTTTAGCAGCATCATATGACCCCTTTAAATAACCACACTGAAAGTAAATGTATGCATATATCATTTGTTTTCTAATATAATTAATCTGATCTCGACTTAAGCAACTGTAAACTAGCTTAATTAAAAACGACACTGTGACCACACCAGAAGAGCCAAGCTTTTCAGAGTTTCCAGCTACCTACACAAGACATTTATATAATCATGTGGGGGGGGGGATCAGAAAGTTGTGTTTGAATACAGAGATGATTGTTTCCTTTTATTTCTCAACAAATGTCTCCATAAATTAGCTAAAATATGTGAAAGCTTGACTTCTCTGATATAGTCACTGCTTCAAAATACTATTAGGCCTATTATACTACGCTATACTATACAGCAGAGAAACTCTCAGATATAAACCCTGCATGTCACACACACTCACACACAGAAGATCTACACTATCTATCTGATGACGATGGATCAAAAACATCTTGGAATGTTTCTTTACATTCCTGTTGACGTTTTGGACAAATTAGTGAGAAGATGCATTATGAAATCAACAGTTTTTGATCCAATTGCCAACAGATGTTTTCATTGTCATATTGCATATTCCTGACAATGCACACACATATATAAACACACATATGCAGGACCAGCCATTGGTGGCAAACACAGGCACTGTTGTCAAACCAAAGGCCACACTAGATCCCTACCTTTTCAAACCCAGACAGCTGAGAGAGGGAAAATAACAGAATAAACATGTGACAGACCATCACACAAACCAAAATCCTACTATTAATTAACTTTATGTATCCTCTGTTGCCTGAATTTTTTTTTTAATAATCATACAGTCATCTTTATGTCTTGATCTGTCCTCTATTTTGTTTATTTATTAATTTTTTTAAATCTCATTTGGCATTATATTTAACTGATTTGAAATGTGTTACTTGTACCAAGGTAAAAATCTTATTCGATATAAACTCTAGTACTATATAATATATAGTAACATATGTAATATGTTACTACATATTCTTATTGGCATCTTGGCCAAGTCACTCTTGTACAGGAGTTGTATCTTAGTTAAATGAAGGCTACTAACTACAAGAGGAAGTCATTGCTCATTTTCAGTCATAACTGACGAGTTCCTCCTCGCAAAGAGACAAAGAGGAATCAGGATTAATATTTTACAAGCTTTTCGAATGGGAACAATGAGAGGGCACACGCACACAGTTTCACTCACCCGTCTGCTCAGAGTGGCACTGTTACGCTCTTTGAGTTGTGGGTCTGTGGGTAAATTGGTCCATACAATGTGGGGTGTGTCATACTTGTCCCTCAGTTTGGGGCAGCTTTTGAAGATGAAGTCGATGATGAAGAATTTGATGCCGGCATAGACACCTAAAAATTTTGTATATAACAACAAGTGGAAATTAGAGACTTGAGCCCCCCCCACAAAACTGAAGTTGAACATCAAAACAACAAAATTGTCATTGTTGTCACGCGTCAAACTGAATTTCTCACCAATCATGAAGCCCAAGAGTTTATATGGCAGCAAACAGGAAGTGATGAAGGCCACCCACAAACCAACATACAGTTTCTGTGTGATTTCAGGCTGCACCCACATGAACAGGCTGCAATGAAAACACAATCATATGTAACAAAAGCATAAACAGTACATATATGCATGTAAATATATATAAATAAACATCCTTTTAACAGGGCAGTACTACCAAAATCTTATCAATATCATGGTATGCATATTTTACATTAATTATATATTATTTTAATTTTATATTAATTTATATAAATTGTCATTACATATACATAAACATTACAATCTATTTCATAATAGTATTTGTTTTTCACAATAAAGCCAAAATATTTGTACAAAAAACAAAACAAAAAAAAACTTTTTTTTAAAGGGGTCATATGATGCAATTTAAATTTTTCCTTTCTCTTTGGAATGTTACAAGCTCTTGGCGCATAAAGAAGATCTGTAAAGTTGCAAAGACTAAAGTCTCAAATCCAAAGAGATATTCTTTATAAAAGTTAAGAGTCAGCCACGCCTACCTAAAACGGCTCGTTCTAACACGCCCCCACATATCTACATCACTATGTGGGAAGATTTGCATAACGCCGCCCAAATGTTCACGCAAAGAAAGAAGGCGTAACTTATTCTCGCTGTAGTATTGTTGCCGCCGCCGCCATGTCGTGAAGGCGCTGTGTGCTTCATTGTGAAAGCGAAACTACTTTGTTTGGCCTTCCAAAAGAGGACGATATCGCTTCGTCATGCCTGGAGCTGATCCCTGCTGGTTGCTGAGGAAATACTACAACTTTGCGCTGTGGATCGCCGGATCGGCTTTCACCGTGGACGAAGCGGAGTCCAGCCCGGAGTCGTCACATGTCCTTCCGGACGCTCCTTCGTCGGGAATAAGACAAAAACGCGGGTTAGAAGATGAATTCATGATGTACTCGCTCATTATATACATTTTGCAAATTTTGAACACAGAAAAAGTTACATAGCGCTGCTTTAAAGTAATCCAGTCAATTCAATAATTTAGAAAAGGAAATGAAACTTGCTCTCATTTAATATTCTTTTTTTAATTTAGAACTTATACAACATCATATAAAATAATATTAAAATACTGTTAATATACAAGTTAAAAGGAGACTATTTGTATTGAATCAGCTCAAAAAAAGTTAAAAGCAGAACTGAATGACGTCTCAACCATTACGCAGTCATACCACCTGTTCCCACAACTCAGTATCTAACATACTCACTTTTTAATCTTTTCCAATACATCTGCCATCTTTCCAAATAGATTCTGTGAATACACATCACTTGTGCGTCAACAGCTTTATGCGTGAAGCAAAGCAAAAGGTGTCTTTATTGCACTATTATCACAGCTAGAACAAGGCTACAAATCCCTTACCTGTGCTTTCTGTGCAACATCCAACACTAACTGAAACTTCTCTGAGACGGTAAGATCTTCCTTTGGAGGTTCCTAATAAAAACAACGAAGCATTAAGGTTTTTTCCCCCAAGAAAATTGTAACAAAATGATGTTAATGATTCGAAATGAGGCTTATATTTACCACTGGTTCGGAGACCTCAGGCACAATGCTCCACTGTATCCTCCAACCTCTAAAAAGACAGACCAGAACAGTTTTAGTATGTATAATTCACAAACAATATAGCAAAAATAAATAAATAGTTTGAAGCCAATTTTTACATTATAGGATTTAAATGTAACGTTTTATTTTTTTTATTCAATAGCAAAAAAAAAATACATTTCAACATCTCTTTTTAAATTATTTGTTAACTGCATTTAATAAATCATTTTAGGCTAAATAATAATTAAAGGGATATATAATTATAATGGCATTCAACCAGCACATGGGTTTGTGAACTAGTTGTGAATTGAACTATTGACAGATTATGTTGGACGTACTTTGCTATGAGGTAATTCAAGGATAACCGCAGAATGGCTAAAAATAGAAACATGGGAATAACCCAGCCATGCCAGGCAGCATTCATATAGATCTGTGGAAAAGATGAGAGAGAAGAAGACATTAAAATGAAGGATGGCATGTCGAGGCCATGTTAAAACCATGTCAGCCACCATACAGAAAAAAAGTGGTGTCACTAGTCATCTACACTTTTGTATTTTAAGATTAGCCTACTTTTATAACACTGACCTACTAAACATTAAACAGTGTAACTGGTCACGTTAACGTATTACTTTAACCCGAGGCAGGGCTTTTCCGTGTCTGGTGATGTACAGATAACTATGAGCTTGGCGACATGTTTTATTTGTTTTCATTATGGTAGTAAAACAGACACTTTGGACCGGGTGGCTACATAAACATGATGAATAGTGTTTGAGGGGGTTGTGTGGGTCGTGCTCACAATAAAGGCGATGGCTGATGTGTAGACAGAGTGGCAGCTGGATAAGGCAGAAAGGTTCCTCATGAAGTTAGTTACAGGCTTAGCACCTCAGTTTCATGCCCATGACACAGCAGAGGTGATGAGAATTAAAACAGAGGCTCATTGGGAATTAAAATGGGGCTGTAATCGGTTAAAATATCTAGTGCTATGGCTTGGAGGGGTTTTTCTGGGATGCGGAATGAAAACACTCACTGAGTCGTCTCATATTTTCAGTTAATCTGCAAAGAGGAGAAAAGAAAATTAATTATTTAATGAGATCCGTTGGGAGGGTGAAATTATAAAGCCAGAAATAGCATGAAAATTGAGAGTCTAAGCTGGGCTGACTACAGTAGAGGCTGTCCTACACTTCGCTAAAATATACAATATAAAAGTATAAAAGGATATAAAAATAAAGTCTGATTGAAAAATGGGTTTTTATCACCCCAGCTTTAAAATTGCATCCGAGTCATTGCTATTATGCAGCACATTTTTATGGTTCCATCTGAATATATTGGACAAAATATGAAAGTCATGTTAGCTTTCTTTTCATAAACATCACAATTAACTGAATTATAAATCATTCAATTCTCTCTTATACAAATGATATTATTTCATTTTACTATATTATAAAATGAATGGAATGGGTCTGTCCAGGGTTAATTTTTGTTTTAAGTCTGGTGTACCTTTCTCATAGAAATACTTCTTTAAAATACTCCATAAATTACAGAGCACTACATAACTGGAATGACCCATCCATGACTTGAATGGTTCTCTGTTCAACCTCTCTTCAAAATCTGTAAATTATTAATCTAAACAAACCAAAGGAGGCTTTGTTTGGGCTGGATACCTTTTAGCACTTAGTGGTTCCTCAGTCTCGACTGTATTTTCCTCAGGCTTAAAGCGGAACTCTTCCATATAAACACCAAAGCGCTCATAGAGCCATTTCCACAGCCGAGAGCTTAAGGTCTCCTTCTGTTTGTCTCCTATCAGTTCACAAACAGAGCAAAACCTCAGTTAAAACATGAGCATCTACTACATACAATGACTATAATATTGTCAGAAATCAAATTGTGCATTACCACAAACATTAATCCATGCAAGAATTGCACTAAAAAGAAAACTGCTCACAGAAAGTGAAACTTCCAGTGCAGAGAGATATTTAGGTTTTAAGAATGGTGTCCAAATGAAAAGGAAGCCTGGGTTGGCCTTCTTTGGGGATGTATAATTACAGGTAAAATTAAATATGATTGCTGTACACAAAATAATAAAATTCAACAAAATATCTGAAGCATGAATGAAAGAGATTGTCAAAAGTCATCAATCAGCTGAAGTGATGGATAAATTATAATCATGCTCCTCAAATGAACTACAGAATAAGGACACTGGTTCTCATTCACTAATAAAGTGTTCTTAACCACACAGTACAAAACTGCCACACAATTTCAGGCAGAACAGGTGCGTTTGCAATTCAATTTGCTCATCTCGTTCTAATGTTGATGAATCCGGATTATTCTAAATGAGGGACTGTGTGTCCGCAGCTAATAATTACACAACACACATCCAAACCATCTCTATGTGAGAACAAACTCACACAGCAAGAGTAAAGCCAAATGTGTCATTCTCAAAACCAGATGAAACACAAATACATCTTATTTAGGTCTAGACATGCGGTCATGTTTTGGACCACCCAATGTTACTCAATTCATTCACCAAAAAAGCCTGCATTTTTATGCAAATTACAATATAATTATATAAGACTTATTGTAGGGTCACTTAGTTGTTCATGTTCTAATAATATGGTGTATATAAAAATCTATTCACCTTATGTAGCTTTCCTTTGCTAAATAGTCTATATGCATATTAGTACTCCGTAAGAGAATAAGAGACGAATGTGTTGAAAAAACAACAACGTAATGAATAAGCCTGTAGGGGTTAAAACAGCAACAACAGGCAAAAGTGAAAATGATAAAGTATTGATGTTAGAGATTAAAATTTCCATATGAATGTGCAAGTGAGTCTCTCAACGATAGACCTATAAGGAGGAGGATGAACTGAGCTTTACCTGTTCCATTGACAGAAGTGACTTGTGGTTTTGGAGGTGGAGGTGGTGAATCTTCTAGTCTGGACCAAGCACACATATTGCTTTACTTGCAGTATTAACAACAAATAAATACATAAGTAACTAAAACTGAACATAATGAAGCCAAATGTAGTTGTGGGAAACTTTACTGTGGAAGAGCATCACCTCTCATACCTGGATCTGAGAATTTCATTCATTTTCTGCTCAAGATCGACTCTTTTTGATTTCTCTTTCTCCAGCTCCTGCTTCAGAGTCTCGACATTTGTCTCCTCTCGGAGCTTCCTCAACTCCTCCTCTGTGGGCAATACACAAAGAAAAACAGTTGGTTTAAATGCATGATTGAAAGACTGAAGAGACTGCTGTTGACTTCAGGAAACGCAGTGGAAGTCACACATAAATCAGCAGTGGCGTGGTTTCACTGGAAATGTTCAGCATGCTTGAGGCTTCTGTCACAGACATCAAATACACAAGTGAAAGAAAGATGAGTCAGCTGATTATTGCTGCAAAATAAACCCTGACAGCATGATCAAGATCTTGTATCACCCTCTTTAGGTTTATTTTGCAATGATGACTGGCTAAATGTACTTTATATTGCTTATTATATACCTCTGCATATAAACAAACAAACACAAAATATTGATTTTATATCTATAAAAAGAAAGACTGCAGAGTGATGAAAGCACCATTATAAAATGTATCTGACATCACAATGGTGCATTTGCCCAATCAGAATCAAGTATTTCTGTAATAAGAGTGCTGTATAATGAGATATAATATGATCATATCAACATCCAAATGTAACTAAAGTTAAAAATAATCAGCACATTTTTTCCCACATTTTCTGTGCCAGCGCTGGGGAAAATTCATGGCCATGGATAGTATGGTAAAATGTGTTAAAACCAAATAAAAAAACAAAAGCACAAAAGCAAACAAAATGAAACCAAACTGAACCAAACCAAAACATGAAAAAAACAACAACATGAATAATGAATAAGCCTGTAGGAGGTCAAAACAACAACAGGCAAAAGTGAAAATGATAAAGCATTGCTTTTTAGAGACCAAACCAAACAAAACAAAACAAAAAACAAAATCAAAATAAAATAATAAACAAACAAACAAACAAACAAACAAACATCAAAACATTAGAAAAAACAACATACAAAACAAAAACCAAACCAAAACAAAAACAAATAAAAACATCAAAACATAAAACAAACAAAAAACAAAAACAAAAAATCATTAAAAAAAAAACATAACACCAACAACATTAACCAAAACAAAATCAAGAAACATAAAAAAAAAACCCAGCAAAAATGATTTAAAGCTGCTGAAAGCATTTTAAATACCGTAAAAAAAGAATAAATCTCTGTACACAACAAATATTAATCAGAGTGCAGCCAGAGTGCATCCGTCACTCAGAAAACAAGGAGCTGGCCTCCTGCCACTTTAAATGACACTTAATCAAAACCCTTTCAATATGCTGTCATAAGGAAAATCTAATGACTAAATATGACAATAACAGAGATGTCTGCCATTCTGCTAATAACAGAATTCAAATTCTGTGGAAACCCGTTGTGCTTTCTGCAGAATCCTGTAGTTGCAGGGCTACACAAGAACAATGACATCACAAAGATGACACTAAATTAAGTGGTCTCACAGGACAGGACACTCAGCAGAACAGCCAGAGGAGGATCTGAAAGACAGCACAGGACAGATTGTTCTTTATCTAACAAACACTCCTAAAAACACCTTCACAGCATGTTTTCTGAAAACACCTTTCTGCCTCTCATGCACAAACACAACAGTCCTGATCGAGTAGTTTTTCCACCTGCCCTCTATCGCATACAATACCTACCTCAAGGTTGCCTGGAACACAAGCCCATCTTCATCTATAATTCAGCAGTTCCTGCATCTCCCACAGAGGCGCTATAGTCATGATAAAGACCCCCTGCCGCTAACTCAAGGGCAGGTGTGCTAAAGAGGAGACATCTGAATCCAGATGATCAGTGCAGACCCCAGGGGCCGTCGCTAAACCCGGAGCTAGCAGTCAACAAGCTGTTTCACAATGTTAAAACAATAGACTGAAATGAATATTTTTAGCCTAATCTAATCTCTTATATTCTGCTTCATTTAACAGCCTGTTCAGAGGGTTAAGCAACTTGAAAGCATGCAAATTAACATTTTTCCAGTTGGATGCCACAATTTTTTATTAGTTTAATAATTTAAAAGACTATAATATATATAATGTGATAAGCTGTGTAATGAGAAAAATATATGACTCTTCAGTTTATCTAAATGTAATGGAATAAGCTGAAAATAAAGACATTTATGATCATGCTTACATATAACCTGCACACTTTTTTCTAGATTTTCTATGCCAATTGAGGGGGAAATTCACTAGAATAGATGTCATGATAAAATGTGTTAAACCACACACACACACACACACACACACACACACACACACACACACAAGAATAAATCTCTGTACACAACAAATATTAATCAGAGTGCAGCCAGAGTGCATCCGTCACTCAGAAAACAAGGAGCTGGCCTCCTGCCACTTTAAATGACACTTAATCAAAACCCTTTCAATATGCTGTCATAAGGAAAATCTAATGACTAAATATGACAATAACAGAGATGTCTGCCATTCTGCTAATAACAGAATTCAAATTCTGTGGAAACCCGTTGTGCTTTCTGCAGAATCCTGTAGTTGCAGGGCTACACAAGAACAATGACATCACAAAGATGACACTAAATTAAGTGGTCTCACAGGACAGGACACTCAGCAGAACAGCCAGAGGAGGATCTGAAAGACAGCACAGGACAGATTGTTCTTTATCTAACAAACACTCCTAAAAACACCTTCACAGCATGTTTTCTGAAAACACCTTTCTGCCTCTCATGCACAAACACAACAGTCCTGATCGAGTAGTTTTTCCACCTGCCCTCTATCGCATACAATACCTACCTCAAGGTTGCCTGGAACACAAGCCCATCTTCATCTATAATTCAGCAGTTCCTGCATCTCCCACAGAGGCGCTATAGTCATGATAAAGACCCCCTGCCGCTAACTCAAGGGCAGGTGTGCTAAAGAGGAGACATCTGAATCCAGATGATCAGTGCAGACCCCAGGGGCCGTCGCTAAACCCGGAGCTAGCAGTCAACAAGCTGTTTCACAATGTTAAAACAATAGACTGAAATGAATATTTTTAGCCTAATCTAATCTCTTATATTCTGCTTCATTTAACAGCCTGTTCAGAGGGTTAAGCAACTTGAAAGCATGCAAATTAACATTTTTCCAGTTGGATGCCACAATTTTTTATTAGTTTAATAATTTAAAAGACTATAATATATATAATGTGATAAGCTGTGTAATGAGAAAAATATATGACTCTTCAGTTTATCTAAATGTAATGGAATAAGCTGAAAATAAAGACATTTATGATCATGCTTACATATAACCTGCACACTTTTTTCTAGATTTTCTATGCCAATTGAGGGGGAAATTCACTAGAATAGATGTCATGATAAAATGTGTTAAACCACACACACACACACACACACACACACACACACACACACACACACACACAC